ATAGCCTTATATGTGTACAAATATGTGTGTATATATATATATATATATATATATATATATATATATGTCTGAGTGCCTGTATAGAAATATATCTAAACTGAAACCAAACCAAAATATGAATACTCCACAATTTTTTAGAATGTGTACAATAAATAGTTTAAAATATCAAGGTTTGAACTAATAGTTTTACTACTTACTTCTTAAAAACTCTCGCACTTAGTTACCTCCCTTGAAGTCATGTCAAGCCAACACGTTCTCACTCACTTCACAACTAATAATATTAACTTTTAGATGAGCACAGCAATTTTGATTTTGAAAATGATGAACACTACAATATTTGTCTTGTCTTGAAATAATCAACACCCTGATGATGACATTGTGCAATGTCCAAAGTTCGCGGAATAAAATAATATGTATGAACACGGCAATTTTTTCGCTTCCCTTAATAATAACATCAAAAAACTTGTCCATGAATGTGAAAGGATCCGACTGAAAATAAGTAGACAGAACTTACCTCAATTATTCAATAAAACATGTCTGTCTGTCTTTCTCTCTGTCTGTCTGCCTGTCTGTCTGTCTCTCCTCCTCTCTCTCTCTCTCTCTCTCTCTCTATATATATATATATATATATATATATATATATATATATATATATATACTTGCATGTATACATATATATTTCACGCATCACATATAAGATGTTCCCCAAACTTTGCCAGTTTACCAACGACTCTTATGTGTATTTCTTTTGTTTTCCTGATTTCCTTATCATTTGGTCTAAAAGTTGCAATTGTTTGAAGAACAATGTAATATACCAACCCACTGTAAAATCAGCAATTAACGAAGAAACATATGCAGAGCTGTAACAGAAGGCCACCAGAAACGGGGAAACTACGGATACAAGCCATCATTTACTCATGGTAAATGCGCGAACAGAACAATACTTTCTAAACATATATGGAAAATGAAATCACGCCATAAATATGGAAAAATCACGCCATAAATATGGAAAAATCACGCCATAAATATGGAAAATATGGAAAACAGTATTAGCCTACAACAATAAATCCAAAAGCTGTAAACTTTGTCTGAAGGAAAAAATTACCTTTCCAGATCAACAAATATATATTTACTAAATAAACGATTAGACCTTGCAAATACGTTATTTATAAATCATATCTTGTAAATACCGCCATGAAAAATGCAAATCTATAGACTATATACAATGCAGATAATGTACTATATAAACGCTACTAAAAAAGTCAATATTTTAGTCTAAGCAAAAATCCTTGAAAAGAATAAAATAAATCTACAAAAATAAGGACATGAATAAACTAATAAATAAAGTTTGTCACTTAGCTGATTGGTGGTACCTTCAGCATCCCGACTCCAGAGATTCGTAGGCGTACCTAATCACATTGTCCATTCGCCTGGGGGTAAGCAGAAGGAAATGTAATAATAATAATAATAATAAGGATAATAAATCAAAGACATATAATGAAGTAATCAATAACAAAGAAGGAGAAAAAAATTAACAAACAAGACTATGAAATAACAACCGCATATAAAATAACAATATTCTCTAGACTAATCTGAAATATAAACGATGTTGACAGTAAAACTTACTATCCATACTGTACTATTAACCAGCATATATAAATAGTCGAGTTACAGGGCCTGAACGTAAAACAAACTATCACTGTTGACGCCAGTGCCACTTTTATATTTACATAAGCTCTATCCCTGATATTGAGCATTTTTACCCGTAATTATAGCATACTTTAAAACTATATATGAGAAGCTTATTGGAAAGCGCTCAATATCAGTGATAGAGCTAGCCTAATATATTTAGTTATATGAGTATATATATCGAAAGACTGTTTCTCTGTATCACAGCTTATCATAGTGGCTAAACATCCAAATGGTTCAAGCCGGGATCGAAACTCAATGTTTTAGATATTCAGTAAATTTCCTATAGCCGTAATGACTTTCAAATGGCATATCTTTGCTCGGGGTTAAATTGTTTCAATGTTTTAGATATTTAGTAAATTTCTTATGGCCGTAATAACTTTCAAATGGCATGGAATTGTTCATAAATCTAATAATCAAACCAAAACAGGGATGAAGCGTCGGAGCTTAATTCAACTGCAAGTTCAAACGCATGAACACACCCACTCCTTCGCACATTTACTTTAAAGCTAGGTTCAATAAGAGGTTCTTCGGTAATTCTTCCCTTTTAACACTTCAATAATCCTTCTCAAAATTCTTTGCATCAAACGTTGCTCGAATGCCAATTTAGGATGGAATCCTATGAAGAAACTATTGGCTAAATGGCAAAAGCCAATTTGAGACCTAGTTTGTCTCAGATTTCGTTCTCTTAATTGAAATAAGCTAAACCAAACACGCACGCAAAACAATCTGTGTGTCATATGTAATTTACATGACAAAGCATCGGATGAAAAGCAAGGGAGTTATGGCCGAAAAACGGGGTTTTTGAACATTTTTTTCGTTATACGCCAGGAAGCGAGGAGGAATATCTTATTTCTTTGATGATGGCAGATTTTTGCGATAGGTTTGAAGAGAATCTGATAAAAAATAAAGAAGTTATTCAAGATTTTATTTTAAGTAGTATGAAAAAATCCAATTTTTTCAGAGTTTTTAGCAATTTTTTGTGCGAAGCGAATGTTGCAGGAAAATTATCAACCACTCTACATAAGCCTCGTAACATGAGCTGCTTTGCATTAAATGCAAAGAACATCAGCCCATCCAGTAAACATTTTGTTCGCGTGTAACTTTCTTTTTGTTTTTTTGCAAATAGTCGTACCCAACTTCAGTTTTATCGATTTTTCTGCCAAACCCAAGGGACCTGAAGATTGAAAAGATTGGTTTTGATCTATCTTGGTAAATTTGCAACAGGTGTATACAACTTCATCGAAATCGGTCGAGTAATGCGGACGTGCATAAATAGCATACAGAGACAAACACAAACAGGCACACAGACAGATATCGATAGTTCTATATATATATATATATATATATATATATATATATATATATATATATATATATAAAAAATATAAATATAGTCACATATACTTACAGTTACATATATATATATACATATATATATGTATATATATATATATATATATATATATATATATATATGTATATAATTATATATACATAATTATTTAAAATATTATATTATAGTAGTAGGCCAAATAAAAAAATAGAAGGCCGACTAGAAAGGCGTAAACACCAAAAAAAAGAGTTCGAGGCAAGCTATAAAACATAAAATATAAGATATGCAATGAAGAGCGAGAGGCCTTTGAAAAAAAATCTCTCGAAACACCGTTACCCGAGATTCGATCGCCAGATCTCAGGCAGGTTAAAAAATGTAGTATAGTGACATCGACAACAAACTTATATAACGCAGGTGCTATAAATACAGTGATCAATGTTATTAAACGGAGCTATTAAATATATATTGGTGAATATACAATATATATACATAATATTCGACTTCGAGAGAACGACTCGGAGTTTCAAGCAAATCTGCAATCTTCATGCTTTAATGGCCAGATTGCATTAAGCACTTGAATATTGCAGATTTGTATGAAACTCCAAATCGTGCTATTTACGTTGGAGATTATGTATATACATTAATATATATATATATATATATATATATATATATATATATATATATATATATATTTATCTTCTCTCTCTCTCTCTCTCTCTCTCTCTCTCTCTCTGAGGGACATTGAGGTGAAGACCGAGCGAGGGCAATCTGTTCCATGTTTGAATGTTATAGTCAGGCTATGTCTGTGTGAAATAGTGGATATCCCATCCAATACACATGGGTTGGATATTGTGTTCAGGCATGAGACAGACACTCACCACTGGTGTCCACTTTACACAGGCTCTATCCTCTATTTTAGAGATTTTTACCTATAATTATAGCATAGCTTTCGATTATATTTTTATCATATATATATATATATATATATATATATATATATATATACATATACAAGAAGACTTTTACGCATAAATATAACATACTTCTCGGCTATATATATATATATATATATATATATAAAAGTTTTCGGTATCGATGGAATAAAATTCCTGTAACCAAAAACACTATAACTAAAATACTGCTCAATGCAAAAAAGAAAAAATATTTATTCAAAATTATAACATATGCATCACTACAAAAATTGCATTTTTGTTGAGCACTACTGGTATCTTATCAAAAGATTGTATTGAGATGTGTTGATTGCAAGTGAGATGTTATAGCATGTATATTTTATAATTTTGAATATATATATATATATATATATATATATATATATATATATATATATATATATGTAAGTATAAGTATGAGTGTAGATATATATGTATATATAGTAACGCACACACATATATAGTAACATATACATATATAGTAACATATGTATATCTCTAAAGTAACATTTATATATATATACATACACACATACTTATATATATTTCATACGTTTGGGCATTAGTGCATAATTCATTGTCTTGTTTATTTTGTCTCAATGCTGTGTGATATGTGCACATAGTATCATACACGTTTTTTGTTACACATAGATTGATCGTTGCTTCAGATCATCACAAATTACTTTCACACACACACACCCACATCCACACACACACACCCGGCGTTTATGCATATATATATATATATATATATATATATATATATATATATATGTGTGTGTGTGTGTGTGTGTGTGTGTGTGTGTGTGTGTGTAAACAGATGATCACGCACATACTAAAAAACATGTGGCTATATAAATATAGGTATATAGATATATGCATGTAGTGCGTATGGATTTGTGCGTGTGGGTTTGGCAGTGTGTTTTTAGGTTCTATTTGTTAATGATTAACCGAATCTAGCGCGAGTTGAGTGCGTGTCTCTTTTCTTTTTCGAATAATACGTCAAGACTTTTTAATACTTGCTATTCAGTGGATTGGTCTCGAATTACGAGGTGCGAGCAGAGTGCTTCAAAAGTATTTGTTGATCTCGTAAGAGAATCACACGTAAGGTGGAAACAGGTGTTCAGAAGATGCAAAGCTTCAGGCTCTTTGGGAAAGTGAAAAGAAAGAAAGAAAGAAAGAAAGAAAGAAAGAAAGAAAGAAAGAGAAGCGTCGGGGAATGAAAGAAGAAACAAACAAAGCAGAAATACTGAACAGAGATATGACAAAAGGAAGGAAAGCATAGAATAGGGAAGAGGGGAGAAAGAAAGAAAGAAAGAAAGAAAGAATGAAAGAAAGAAAGAAAGAAAGAAAGAGAATCGTCGGAAAAGGAAAGAAAGAAAAAGAAAGAAGGAAAAAGAAAGAAAGCATAAATACTGAACAGAGATATGACAAAAGGAAAGAAAGCATAGAATAGGGAAGAGGGGAAAAAGAAAGAAAGAATGAAAGAAGAAAAAAGAAAGAAAGGTAGAAAGAAAGAAGGAAAAAGAAAGAAAGAAAGAATTAAAGAGAATCGTCGACGTCGAAGAAAGAAAGAAGGAAAAAGAAAGAAAGAAAGAAAGAAAGAAAGATAGAAAGAAAGAAGGAAAAAGAAAGAAAGAAAGAAAGAATGAAAGAGAATCGTCGGAGAAAGAAAGAAAGAAGGATAAAGAAAGAAAGAAAGAAACAATGCTTGCAATGCTGAATGGAGAATTGGGAAAAAGTATGTAAACACAGAATAGTGAAGAGACTGAGAAAGATAGAAATAAATAAAGAAACAAAGAAAGTCATTGGAGACTACAAATAAATAAATAAATTAATAAATAAATAAAGGAAGGAAGGGAGCAAAACTTTGGAGACTGGAGAGTGGCATAATAAAGAATAAAAGAAAGAAAGAAAGGAAGGAGGGAAGAAAGAAAGAAAGAAAAACGAAAAAGAAACAAAAGAAGGATGTTAAAAAAAATAAGGAAGTAATACACGGTAATAATGTAAAGGTAAATGTAAAAATAAACAAAGAAAGAAAGAAAGAAAGCGGAAGAAGAAGAAACGACGACGTTTAAGAGAAGAATAAGAACAATACAAAGGCGAGTGAAAATGTGAAGAAGATGAGACACCTGGAAGTAGAAGAAAGTATACGGAGGAGAAAGGATAAACTGTGAGACAGGATGGGATAGAAAGAAAGAAAAAAAAAAGTGAAGTAAATTTAGGAGGCTGACACGTAGTGAAGTAATGAAAACTTGCCACATTTATTCACGCTTCTCCGAAGGAACCTCTTGGAATAAACTGAAATTTCGTTCGTGAGACGGAAGACGAGGCCAGGTTCTAATTACCTGACGACAGACATTTACGTTAATTAACACATTTATCGACTTACGGTCATTCATGTCTGTCCTGATGAAATGCTATGTAATATGAATCCTCCTATATGGCAGTGAATGCTGAACAATTTCCTCACAGATGAAATGGACACTTGAGCCAACAGTGATGCGGTTCTGCAGAAAGATGCTGATAATTTCATGGATGGAGAGAATATGGAATGAGGAAGTCTGAAGGGAAATAAAAGCGATGATTTTGCTCAGAATCAGAAAAGCAGCTGGAATTTCTAGGAGACATTGGGAGGAAGGACATATTGGAAACTACATTTATAATTGTTCACTACAGGTTTATTTACAGCGACTTGAGGATTGTAGTCATCAGAGGTACAATCTCTTGGAAGTCTGTTTCCGAAAATAGCTGTTCTTGTGAAGATTACGTCCGAATAGATCGTCCTAGTTACAAATGGAATAATGAAGAGAATGTATTTGAGTCGTCTCGTATACTTGGCATGTCGTGTCTTAGCGGCGAATGGTAAAACTAAGAAATGTTGCTCATCAGAATATTTGGCATGTTAATAGCATTGGAGAGAGGCTTGCGACGTTGCATCTGTCAGAATGTACTTGCAAGGTAGAAAAATAAATCATCAGTCACAAGGTCATATAGACGCTTTAAAAGTCTTTTATCATAAAAGTCTCCTGTAGCCAAATTGGTAACGTCAGGTTTCTGCTATAGGTGGGCTGACAATGATTGGAAATAGTGTGTAGATTTTAGACGTCTCCGGTGGCATATTTCTCTTTAGTCGGACTTCATGAACTAGGCTTGTTGCTATTAATTTCAGAATATAGATGCTGATGTCGGAGTGAGCGTCAGTCGTTCACTTTTGAACCGACTGTTCGGTTGAACCCTCTTCCTACGGACGGGAGGAACCCGAAGAAGGCTACGCCGAAGGGCGGCGTCTCCTTCGGGGAGGTAAAACCGGCCCTGAACCCGTTTATACGGGTTCAATGGGCATATTTTTGGCCGAGCCCACGGGCTCGGAATGCCCACGTCAAAAAGGCCTTGTGCCACATGACACCCACGTGGGGGGGGACTCAATATCGTGAGCGAACGTGTTTTTTCATTGCTCAAATAAAGATGATGTCGTATTTTAAAATAACGGAAGTTTTTAATAATCTATTTTTCATTTTTATATTTTCCTTTGTTCATTGTATTATAATATTGTTATATGCATTTACAATATTTAATTATAAAAATACATATTTTTGATGCTGGTTTTTACATAGATTTTTAAAAAATTTTATTTTAAAAATAAGTGTTTTAGCGAGCGTGCTTACTTTAGTAATAATGTCTATTATCACTATGAAGTGTTATATCAGGTGCGTTTAATCCATTGTTTTTGTTAAATTTCTCATACACTGCTATGAATAATTCTATATTTCTATTTAAGCGTAACATTTCTCCTTTTTCATGAAATGACGTAATTCTCGAAATTGTAGAAAATGCATTTCGTGTCGTAATATTTTGTTTATCATTGACTATTGGTTCAGTATCGTCGATTTATTTACCTATCATTTATCATTCAAATATTTTAACAACATTTTATTCAGTTATCCTTTTCTTATTTATTGATTGTAGTAACGTAACATTTTTTATGGACGAGGACTTATTTTCAAATCTGAAGGAAAACGCATATGAGTCGAAACGTTATTTTGTATTTTTTGGTTCAGTAATGAATTTTCATTTATTATTTATCTTGCAATTATTTATTTTTTAGCAACAAGAATAATAAAAAAAAATTCTCATATATTTAATGATAATTTTATACTTTTATTTGTTCTGTTTTTTCTTATTTATTGAATCGTTTCTATTATTGTCATTAAAGTAATAAGTCAAAGCGGTACATTTGATAACGAACTGTTTACTCCGATATCCAGTGTAAAATGTATATGGTCATTCCTTGTCAGGTTAGAAAGCTTACTTGTCCCAGTGATCCCAAAAGCGAAGCCGCCTGAAGTTCTAACTCCTGCAGGGACACCCATGGTGGTAAGGTCAAAGTCCAACCCCAGAAGAAAGCCCCACCCCCATTGACGGCGGAATAGGTAAGGATCTACACGATCTCAACGGCCAAAATAGGAGAGGAGGGCAGCACCAGTCGGGCTGGGGTAACTAAGGCAGACTTTGACAGACCAAGCATTCCCGATGCTTACAAGATTAACCTGATCTCGCCTGTCTCAATCCCTTTTTGAGTCGCGACGGAGGCGATTCTGGTAAAATGTGTGGACTTCACGGCCACAGATTAGTCCACCAAACTTATATTCATGCCAATGGCCCGTTAAAATCTTTTTGAGTCACTGCCATCTCCGCCACGGCCACCAAGAGGAGGGGAAAGGAATAGGGAGAGAGTAGGACGAACCCGGTGCTCGAATGTGAGCAAGTACCAAGATATTAATTTCAACGCTTGTGACGTCGTCCCCCGGTCGCAGCGCCGACTGTGACGTTCTATCCTGATCTACCACGGCGCCAGTTGTGACGTCTTCGCCGCGGCGTCAGCTGTTCGCTCCTCGCTGCTTCGTCCGGGTGTCGCTGCTCCAACGTGACGTTCTAACCCTTTGGTGATTCGGGTAGGAATCTGGTTAGATTGATACCAGCCTCGCCGTTCCCAACCTGCTTCCAACGCCTGGTTACCAGGGTAACTGCACTGATCCCCAGTCTGCCTACCCACGTTGTGAATTGATCTTAGACAGACGAGATCAACAGGGGCTGGGGCCGTAATGCAAGCTGAGTTCAACGGGGGTGATAATACACAAATATGTATAAAAGAAAATAAAATGAAAACTCACAAAGTTCAAAGTATCAAAGAAAAAGGTAACAAACTTTTTATGTCTATTTGTTCGGTACATAGAACTATGTCTACTTCCCGACCCGTTCTGTGGATTGTGGCACGACGCTTTCGCTAGGCAAATTCTAACGCTTCAAGTTGTCTACTCTCTAAGAAATTTGTGTTTCGGTGTGTCTTTGGACGAAAGTCAAAAAACTTATTTCTGTGGTCTGGTCCTAAGTCGTTCTTCAAACTACTTGTTCTTGGTTGAAGAAGAGTCCAAAAGTGTGCGTGAATCTTGGTCAGCTATCTTGATGTGGTTTCAACACTGGGCACTCATCTCTGCCTGCCGTCCGGAGCTCAACTCTTCTCTCCAGGGTCTGAGCTCTTCTCTGCCTGCCGTCCTGGGCTCAAACTCTTCTCTCCAGAGTCTGAATTACTGGGCACTCATCTCTGCCACCGGTGCGCGAACTAACTTCTTCTCGCCAGCTTGGGTCGAACGAACTTCTTCTCGCAGGGCCAAACGAACTGGCCTCTTCTTCCCGCTAGGGACGAACGAACTCTGCCCGCCGTCCGCAGCTCAACTCCGCCTGCCGTCCGCGGATGCACTTCTTCTCTCCAGGGTCTGAGCTCATCTCTCGCCAGCTAGGGTCGAACGAACTCTCGGCACTCAGGCCAAAAGAACTGGCCTCTTCTGCCCGCTTGGGGTGAACGAACTCTGCACTCAGGGCCAAACGAACTGGCCTCTTCTGCCCGCTTGGGGCGAACGAACTCGGCCCGCCGTCCGAGTCTCAACTGATTTCTGTCTGGTGGGGCTTCGTTTTTATTGACGCCGTCAAAACTGGGGTGGGTCTGTTTGGCGTCGGGGGTTCTTCGATAATTCTAAATACGTATCTACCCTTCTTATTTCTGGTTAGGGATTTTTCACTCTTTTCCATTTTTGGTAACTCTTTTCTCCTCCCTCTCTCTTACCGTGCTTCTGAGGGCGTGCACCGCCTTCCCCCTTTCTTCGTATCGGCTTCTCATACTTACACTGGATAGAGGCGTCGACTGATTTTCTTCGTGCGTCACGTGACCATTCTCGGCCAATGAGGTCCTGGTCGGGTATCTTTCCTCTCCTTCGTGCGTCATGTGATCCACTTGGCCAATGACGTCTTAGTCGGGCGTGAACAACCCGTGGCTTTGTTTTGGGAAAGAAATACCTGGCTTAACTAAAAAAAAAAAAATTAATTAAATCGCCCTTATCATGAACGGCCGAGGTGACACTCTTGGTTTTAACACGTGGCGTTTGTCAAAACAGTTTATCGCTAATTGGACATGGCCTAAGAAAGAAATTTTCCTAGCCAACTTGGCGTCTCTAAAGCAGAAATAAAAATATTTCATTTTTCTTCGGCCCATGTGTTGATAACAAAAAATCTTTATTATCGCAGGGCAAAAGTTTATTCTGTCAAAAAGAAAAACTTAGCCAGTGAAAACTACTTGTGTGGGAATTTGATTCTCTATACCCAGCCAAGACTGTCTGTGTTTCGTCAATGTTCAACAATGGATTTCTTCTTTTTGGTGACATTCATTGATAACAAAATTCCATTTTTCGTGGACAAGCGGAAATTGGTCAACGCTTGTTCGTAGGTGACCTAGATATTTTCGACATCTGATATCTATCAACAATAACCTTTTTCCTCCTCATTTCCGTCTCTTAAGCCGTGTGTGTGTGTGTGTGTGTGTTCGCCTATGTCCCGTCTCGTATTACTTTTTCTTTCTTTCTTCTTCGTTTTCTCTTTCTTTCTCCCAAATCGCTTGAATGCAAAGAAAGAATTATTCTTAAAAACTAAAATATTTTTCGGCCTTAAATAATCCTCAAATGGTTGATAAACCGTAAAAAAGCAAATCATATATCTATAAATATTTCTTTCGAATCGTCAGGATGCATGGTGCCACACGCTTAAGAAAATAAAAACAGCCTAAATGTTAACTAAAACACGTGCACTCACTAAAATCACCGTTTATAATAAGAATGAATAATGTCGGAATAAAAAAAAATAGTTTTGGTTTTGCTATATATGAAGAAAGTGTCGCTGCCGTAACTTGAGTTTGAACATAGATCGCCAGTTA